TCATTTCTCATCTGAATATGGTCGACAATTACACTAAAGCAGAAGTAGCACAGCGTACCCTATAAATGCAGCATATTGGTATCATAGAAACCTTCGTATAGAAAACATGTACAAATTTGGAATAAAGCAATTTTGTAAAATATTGTACGATGAAAACAAAAACATGAAAAAGTAGAATGTGTCATGTAGCGTGAAAGTGTTGACATACGAGGTCTGTAAATTAAGTGATGAGAATGGTATTGTGGTGTTCGATTTAGCAACACTGGAGGCGCCCGGCTTGGACCACAACACAACAACACCGTTGACGTTTGTCAGATGGTTGCGCCGCCTACTTGCCTGGAGATCTGGAGGAACTATAGTAAGAATGCCAAGAATACATCTCGAATGAGGAACGCTAGGAATGTGTCGGTGATTTCGTTTGTTCATAATTTGAAATCTGTCAAAAATGATGTTTCTGATATTGAAGGATTATTTCATGAACATATATTTATAAAATATCCAGATTAAGGGTACCTAATATCTCTTTCAGCAGTTTTGCTGAGAACAACGTTCAGAATAATAAAATCCAACCCTAATTATGAAGCACCAAATATATTTAGTTTCAAAAAATAGTCGTATGATATTGACAATGGTATAAAAATGAAAATATACATATAGATAGATTTATTTCAAATTCATGTTGTGCTGCAAAACATAGATGTCTCACTTCATTGTACTGCTTCTTGATAATTCTGAAACAATACAGAAAGCACCAATGTGATTCAAAATTCTTTGTAAATAAGCTAGTCACTTTTAATTAGTTTTCTCAGTTCTATGCTTTTAATTTGTTGGCCTAGATGGTCAGAATTTTTCTTGAAAAAGCTTTATGACTGTACTCTGCCGATATTACAAGGTCCTATTTAATTAAAAAAAAAACTTCCATACTTTATATGACGGTGCCAACTACCAGGGGTAAGGTACCCGGGGGTAATAAGGCCCACCGAAGAAATTATAATTAATATCTACGAGAGAAATTTACTTTTTCAAACTTTTATTATTATAAAAAATAGAAAAGGGTATAAACTAACATAATGGTAATGTTTGAACACAAAATAATCATGCTTATATGTCGAGACGCGAACATTAAAAAAATTGTCTTCTGGGCCTTAAAGCCTGCAAGTGCATATAATAAGGCCCATATTCAAATGAACAAAAAACAAGTCAAACGAATAAACAAAACACAAAAAAAAATCAAAAAATAAAAAGAAAATATTAAAATAATGATATCCAAACATAAATATCAAAAATATCCCTTTGGGCCTTAATATCTGCAACGACATTTAATGAGATTTGAATGAGAGATAAAAAAAATAACAGTTCAACAAAATACTGATAGAATAAAAAATAAATGTAACACATTAAAAAAACAGTATCAAAGATAAAATATGGTATTAAGTATAAATCTAATACTTAAGGCATACAGTCTGGACACAAAAAATTTTCAGTATCGTCCGCAGTCAAACCAGCACAATCCTCATGGACCCAAAAACCACAAGAAGCACATCGTCTCATATCTGCTACATAGTCTTCGTAGCAAATCACACAATGCCATTCTTCGTTATGTTCTTTTGCTTTTGGTGCAATGGAAGACACAGATTCAGATGGCGATTTAGCGGTATTCGATAAGACTGGAACGGGATCAAGTTGAGACTCCACCTCCTTTAAAAATACGGATCGCTTGACTTCAACTGCTTTGTAATTTATAGCTTTACGTCTTGGAGCAGATTTTTTTTTTGACTAGATCTGGTGTTGGTAACACTTCCGCGAAGGAATTATTCAAAGGGATTAATTTTTTACGCAATTCGCCTAAAGGCAGGTAGTCATCTGAATCATATTCCGAATCATCGGCAGCGGCGGTCGTCTCCTGGTAAGGTTTCTCAGTTGCAAGACTTGGGGTAAATGCTTCAATGGGAAGAACATCCTTATCATAAGGGCATATTCCTGTAGCTCGAAAGCCGCTTTTAATATTTCCAATGGACATTGCTTTCTGCCATGTAGGTGTGAAAACTTCAGAAAATCTTTCCCTGTTTAAATCACGTGTAGGATGTTTATCCCAGTACTTTAAAAATTCATCGTCCCAATAAGCTTCAAATGTTCGAAATATAGCTTTGTCCATCGGCTGAAGCTCATGGGTGGTGTTACTCGGCAGACAATATAAGTGAATCTCATGAGCTTCTGCTTTCTCAGCAATGCTAATATCCAAATGGCATTTGGCCCCATCAAAAATTAAAATTACTGGCGGAGGCGACATGTATTCAATGAAATGGTCTAACCACTTATCAAACGTTTCTATCGTCATACTCCCTTTAGGCGTCATCATAACTTTTGAGGCAGCCGGTAAGCCATCTGAGTAGGTTGGCTTCATTCTCTTGTCCTTAAAAAGAATGACAGGCGGTATGGCATGTCCGAGAGCATTAGCGCAAGCGACGATAGTTGCGTTTTCCTCGTGTTCATGAGAAATTACATGCACTCGTTTTGCTCCTTTGGCTGCCAGAACGTTTTGTTGGTGGTGAAGAGTCAAGCGGCAACCCTTCTCGTCCATATTATAAATTTTTGCTTCTTTATTTTTTAACTGAGTACGCTCCAACAAATCTCCTAGTTTTTTTAAATGATCTTCTACGATAAAACGATTTAATTTTTGGGCTCTTGCTGGATTCATGAATTGAGATCGACGTTTTGATATTCTCGGATGATTTTTCAGAAAAGTCCTTAACCACTCCCTACCAGCGAGACGAGTTTCCTGATTGAAACAATGCTTAATTTTCTTTTGCTCAAATGAACACAGACCTTCTTAATGCTTTTGCTGTTAGCGGAAAACCATTATCGGCTAGCCGAATTATTTTATTCTCAAGGTCAGTCTCTTCATTATCGGTCAAAATTGTTTGCCTACCTAGTTTTCTCTTCACGCTTTGTGATTTAATGTGGTTCCTAAGTGTTCGTCTGGGTATTCCGCATTTTTGTTCCACCCAGCGCTGAGATTTTCCCTCGTTAATATAATTTAATGCCTCTCTCATCATCTCTTCATCCCAATTTGCTCTTATCCCCCTGCTTTTTTTACCCATCTTCTATAAAAGAATAAATAAATCTAATGAATAAGTGTATTCATGGCGGCAGAAAATAAAGCCCAAGCCTTTTTCAATGCATTGTAGAAAATAATTCCCGGGCCTTATAACCTGTAGCACAATAAAATTAATTTTGAGGTTATTAAACAACAAACAAACCCAACATAAAAAGAAACGCTACGTAAAATGGAACTATCAGTTACATAGATTATCATGCATACATAATGAAAAATCTACGTATTATTAAAACAATTTAATTTGCTTACTTACCGGTCGAAATTCTTATAAAATACAGCACAGCGAAACGTGACACCATAGAACAAGCCAGGAAGCTCATAACCATAGAACAAAATTACATTTCTGGCAACAGTAATACTAAATATTATTAACAGATGGCGATATAAATATTTTAGGCGCTTTCCTTTGGGCAAACCAGCGTTGGGCCTTAATATCTGGTGGTACATTATAAAGAGGCACTGAATCCAGACATGCAATTTCATATAATCTACCAACTACATCTTGCCAATATGTTAAGTTCACAACCTGCCCGTAGCACTTTATGACTGAATCTCCTGAGCTTCTGCCTTTCCCGCAATAATCAAAATACATCTCACGTATACCACCACAGCTACTGATAGTGTTGCTTTGTATTTTAGGCTCATTTTTTTACCAAATATCCCCGAAAGCATAGCGTTGATAATCTGGATATTAACCAAAACAAACGCCATATTTGATATTTTTCCCGGCAAGCAGCACGTCACGCGATGTCGGTGATGCAGTTTCTCTGATTTTGCCTGACAGGATGACATGTAATTCGCCGTTAGTACAAGTTTGAATTCGCTCTTGTCATTCGGTTGTCCGTAGAGATTTTTTTTTATGTTCTAAAAATGAACGACGGTGTGACATCAGGTTTTGCTTCAGGTTTGGGCGCAATGCAAGGGAAATTCTTGCTAAACAGGCGTACGGGGATAGTACTTTGTCAATAGACCATGGTTTTCGGTGGTTTAAGGCATTTTTAGAGAGAACCACGAAGCGGAAGGCCTTCATCTACATGAACCGATGAAGGTATCGACAGAATCCGGGATCTTGTGCCTTCAGATCATCGGCTGACATTCAGAATAATCGGGGAAGTGTTGAATTTGACTCACATCACTGTTTATCTGACAGACAATGACGAATAGTAGTATCACCGTTTATCAGATCAAGAACAATTGGATGTTGCATAACGATAATGCTCCTTGTCACATAGCAATGTCAACAAACGAGGTTTGGCCAGTAAAAGCATTCCTGTGGCTCCTCGCCCTCTTTATTCGCTTGACTTGAGTCCTTGTGACTTTTTTCTCTTCCTGAGCTTGAAAAATTACCTCAAGAGAACTCAATTTGGGACTTTCGAAAACAGTCAAACAGCTGAAGCCGACCAGCTGAAGGCTATTCCAGTATAGGGGTTCCACCAGTGCTACGAAGAGTGGAAGAACCGTCGGCACTATAAAATTGTAATTATATTTGAATAAGAAAATTTCAAAAGTCAGTCTCTCGTATACAGCAGGAGGTAGTGAACGTTCCGTTTTATGGGCAACTACTCCGAAGCCAAGAAAAGCAATATTTTCTATTTCAAAAGAAATGAAATGTTATACGTATTACATTAAAGTAAAAAGTATTAAATTAACATGATTTGTGTCTGATACGTATCTCCAAGTTTCAGTAGGGCTGATACAGTCCTGGAACAATTTCAGATACGTTTGTCTGTATGTAATAGTGGTTTCGTTATTCTCACCAAACATTTATGTAAATATTACATGTCCAGTTTACACCTTTAAAAGTTTCACTGCATGGCTGATATTAAAAGAGGCTTTGCATAATGTTTGCTCAGTTTTCTTTTCACTTTTCGACAAACGGTCAGGTACACACTCGTACAGTCCTTGCTTCACTGTACATACGAATCTACATACCTAAAAGATGATTCCAGTAGTGAGATACATATTACTAGTAAGTACCAGTTTCCAACAGATACAACTTTTTATAGATTTAGTAGCAATAATCATGTAGATTCTTAGCTTTTCAATTGGTTTAATACCGGGATATCCCAAATCGTGAGAACGGTATTTTTATGTCTACTACAGAGCTTTACGACGTGTTCTGCTATGTTAGCATCTTCAGGGGAAGATTCAGATAGTTTTAATAACAGTTTTTCGACAAGACGCTGAATGAAATTGAGTTTTCAAAATCTGAGGACCGCATTTTATGAACATACCAGCTGAGAAGAGGTTAGAGAATAGTAATCCGGATCATGCCGTATCACCTTTTGGTCCATTTTCTTAATCCCATCCCGTCTTAAATAATCCTAAAATTTTTTTTTGCTCCGATCATTTTTTCTGACTTCTCGTAAGGTCTCCAGTAACTTTTTTCCATATTTAGTCGTTTTCGAGCGATAAGCCATTTAATGTCTGAAAAATTTTAAAAATGGCCATCTTAAATGATTGAAAACTCGGTTAAAAATCGTTATTTCTGAGATTGCCAAGTATCCAAATTAAGACTAAAATCTTCCCATATAAGATACCGAAGAGTATTTCAACATTCATTTATTTTAAATCGATTTTTGTTTGTTCTAGCAAGCATTTGGTGCTCGTATTTAATTGGAGCCAGAACCATTGTTTTGTTTATCGCAAAGCGTATTGGCAGTTGAACCTTTTTCTTTTAAATATACCAAGCATCCCAAAAATCATGGAACGACAATGATAGGATTTCATCTCTAATCAGAAATGCCGTGCATGTCCTTATTCAACATATTACGCACGGTTTTTGAGTTACCGCTATTTTGAATAATTTTTCGAAAATCGTTGCAGACTCTATATGGAAAATGTGAGGACCGCACTTTATGAACAGATACCAAATGACATAATGTCAAGGAATAATAATATGTGGATTACATGCTATTGAGCGATAATTATTTTAATATATTTATATTTTTTATAATTAAAGGGTTTATAGGTTGTTGAATGAAGCAGAAAAACGTTGTTGAACACAATATCTATTATTGCTATTGTTGTTCTGGATTTTCTGGTTGGAAATGACCCCTTTGATGACTACCTTCCTTAACTTTTGTGACGCCCTGTACACTTAAGAAAAGTTAAGAGCTTCAACTTAATCAAGGTTGTATGTACAATCTGCGAATATCAAAAGTTCGCAAATTTTGGCCTAACAAACCAGCTTATAAAGCACTTCAAAATAAATTAATCTTTGGTGGTCTTGTAGAGAAAGGTTTTACCTTTGATTTAGATACTTCTCAACCTCCGAAGTAATGATCTTTAACCAAGTTTTTAATCATTGAGGATGAACATTTTTAGGGGTTTTCAGACAATGAATAGCTTATAGATCGAACACTTCTAGACGTAGAGAAAAATTATTATGGAGATTCTTTATTCAAAATGAGTAGTCCAGCGAATAAACTTTTTTTTTAATTTATGAGTCAATAAGTTGGATGTATATTCTTGCACAATTTAAATTCTGAACCTTTCACTGCATAAACCAGTTCTGTAACAATTAAATTTTGAAAGCTGAATTGGCTGCCTACGACTTTACACTTTGCATAAACCAGTCAATTCCTAGACTTGACCGGCTTTTGCACAGTGCTGTCAGTCTAATACAGCACGGCTACCCCGAACCCGGACATAGTTTCCTTCCGTTAAAGTCATGAAAATACAAAAAAGAAAGCACGACAACATATATTTGTCGCAAGAGTACTCAAAGATCATTGAAAATAAAAATAAAAACTCATCAATGCGGTGCAGGATATATAAAGAAGAACAATAAACTTACGATTTCAAAATGTAGAATCATGCGCTATGAAAAACTGGATAATTAAATATTATTTAAATAGTGAAATAGTCACTTTGTATCAGCTTAATATTGTTTAAATCCGAGATAAGAGAATGTACAGCTTCTGTCTCTACCAAACATTACAAATAAGACGTATAGTGAAAGAAGAAAGCTTAAGAAAAATAAATCTGATTACTTTATGATAATTAAAATTATGTGCCACAATGTGATCAGTGGTTTTATGACGAAATCAGGAAATACCATCAGAGTTTTTCGTCAGCTGATAAAGACACTTCTGCATCAGAATTCAGTGAAGATGAATAATGAAAATATTTTAAGTTTGTGTCAAAGGTTAAATTAAACTATGTATTAGTCAAAGTCAGTTAAAGTTAATTTTATTTTAATTTTATCCGTTAAAAAAATCAAAAAACTGTGCATAAATTAGTCAAGTCCTTTGATCTTTCCCTCATAGATCATTTATTTTTTATTTACAGATTGATATATTTAAAAAATAATGCAGAGGAATTATCTGCAATTGACAACAAATAAGAAAAATTTCAGTAACTAAAAAAATTACATCAAGAATGTTTTTTTAAGCTTTCTCGACATTTTTCATCATGTGACCTGACTGGCTTATGCATTGGACCCCTCAATTACTTAGGAGGGAAGGGGATTGAAAAAATGGACCAAAAAGTGGCCCAGCAAACCCAATTCCTACCAGCGCCTGGTATATTTAATCTTCCCTTGAAGACGCTAATTTACCGAAACATGTGTCGTATTAAAAAACTTGTTTGGTGAGTGGTAAAACTCTGTACTGTACTTCTATTTGATAAGCCGATAGTTTCTTGAAGATCATGTCTATTGTAAGTTATCTTAAGACTTTGCTATTTGTGCTACTAGGAAAAGGATGTCTATAAGCGGGGTTTTCGGCCCTAATAATGAATCAAAGTCGATGGCATCTATGAAATTTTTGCATTCAAATATCTTAGGCATATTATGTATTTCAAGCTTCCGTCATCATTAATATTTTCATTTTAGTAAAACGTCTAAAGGTCACAATTTTGGCATTTTTATCTAAGATTCGCATATTTTCTAATATCGAGTTAGTATTTTTATATGATCGCTTGATCGCAATACTTAATATAATAAAACACACTAAGTCACAAGACATATATGAAAATAAAAGCCGTGCTCTAGCCTCTATTCAGGCTGCGGACTGCACGGCTGCTTCAGTCAGTCTGTCAGTTTGTCGGTCTGCTGGTCTATCGATCTAGTCTTGGTCCGTGGTATTACTTGGAAAGTACTGCTCGGATTTCGATGAAACTCCTACACAAGATTACTTCTACGCCGTAACAAAAGTTTTTGAAAATCTGTTGAGTACTGGCGGAGAGAAGCCAAAAACCAAAAAAATAGAAATCAGTCAAACTTCGTTTTTTTGTCGTTTTAAAGGATCTGAGGGATTTGAGGGAAATTTTGGATGTTAGTAAATATATCTGCTAGCATAGGAAATATACTAACATCAAAAAATTAAAATATATACACTATCAACCTGGTTATTAGATATACTTGACACATCATAGATTTTCCCGTAAATTTGCCCTTAAAACAGAATGCCAAAAATGTTTTCGATACGCGTCTACTTCTGCTCCTTTCGGCGTACCGGTCTTGGTAAGTGTTCTGGCATTACTGCCGGGCGACGTTGTGAGATTGACTACTGTCTAACTTAAATGTTCGAAAATGGACGAGTTTTTGATAAAATGCCAAAATTGCAAACTTTCAAAACATATCAAGCACTACGAGCCCCTTCCCACTTCAATTGGCGCACATCAAGATTTGAACCAAAATATGCTTTTATAAACTAAACATGACGAAACTATTTACTTCTAAAACAATTTATTGTCTCATTTTAGATACACTCTAGTCGTAAAAAATACATATTTGAAATCACTTAGACCTATAACTAATAGAACATCTGAACGAATAAACAATGTGCGAATAAATGCGCGAAGTTAACAAAGCAACAATTGAAAGACTACCATTGGGTAACATCACCTTTATTTTTTATAGTTTTGGCAAAAATTCGGTGTAAAACAATCCCATATTTCTTGAAGCTTTTGTCTCAGTTCGGTGATTGTACGAGCAGGATGTTGTCGTAGAACCTTTTTCATCTCGTGCCACAAACTTCAAATGGGTGGCAGATCTGGACTGCTAGAACCCCATTTCAAAAGTGGTACATTATTTTCTTCCATCCATTGTATAGCCTTTTTGTGATATGGCACGCTGCACCATCTTGCTGAAACACAAAATCTTGGCCGGATGTCAAACATTCTTCCATCACTGGTACAAGCGATTCTTCTAAAATTGCCAAATATTTGTTTGTGTCCACATTTCCATCAATAAAATGAAGTTTTCCTACTCCTTTTGATGATGTACTATCCCAGGCCATAATGGATGCTGGAAATTTCACTTTTCTCTTCAGACAGTCAATATGGAATGCTTCATTTTTTTGCGAATAACTCTACTGCGACTGTCACCAACACAAACTTCGAATCGGGCCTCAACACTCCATTTTATTGCACACCATTGTTGAGGTGTCTATTGTCTATGTTTTTTAGCCCATCTAAGCCGATTTTTCTTTTGCAGTGGAGTTAATAGTGACTTTTCTTTGGTCTTTAAACAAGTTGTGCAACTTTAGGGTTTTTACTTCACTTTTTTTTATATAAGAAAACTTACCTTGCAAGTGCTAAATCCCAGTTTATAGGCCTCTCTATCAGTTGTGGACCTCGAAATTCTCCTTCCAACAGCGTCACTCCACAGAGCACTTAATTGTAAATAATTGGCACGCTTGTTTTTCACGATTATTCTTCTTAATGCTCTTCGGTCGGCATTTGTGATATTACTTCTTTCCATATATCGTGGCCTAATATTAACTGAACCAGTTACGTTATATCTTCTAACAATATTTCTCACACTGTACTGCGATAAGTCTAACAAAGTTGCAATTTCTGAGTTTGATTTCCCAGAATTAAGAAAATTAATTATCAGTAACCGAATTTTCTCACTATTAACCTTTCCTCTACCCATTTTGAAAACCTTAACTACCCAAAACTATTTTAAACGTATTCTGACAGCTGTTATTAAGAAAAACAATTATCATGGCTTTTATTTTTCACAGCCACCTATGCGTTATAGACTTATTTTGCATTGAAATGAAAATAGGTTGATATGCTGTAATTGCAACATGTGTTATTTTTATGCTGCAAATTTGATTAGGGAGTGATAAAGTTGGTGTTTTCTACTATATATTATCAAAATATTCATTGTTAATATTTTAAACCTATAACAACACCCTGCTACATATTTATTATTTGTGTTTGGTAAGAAAAAAACTAAGATTTCAATAGTTGCGCCAAGTGAAGTGGGAAGGGGCTCGTAGAATAAAAATAACAATATTGATGAGAATACAGTACAAATGCGACATAAAGTACTCAAATGAGAAAGTTTCGTGGTTGTGATTCACCTTAAATTCGTGCTATTTTCAGAGCCGGAAACTCCGCTCATATACCCTGAAACTTAGCTCGTTTTTATAACTACACGCTATCATGGGAAGCCCCACTTCAAGAACACACTGTACCTGTATACCTACTAAACCAATATTTTTTCACAGATTACATTTCTGACGGTGCTTTTTAAACATGCATACTCCATGGATGACAATACCGGGAAAGTTGATTCATCGAAGAGCGTGGAAAAAAATTCAGCAATTGAAGAGGATGATCTGGAAACCGCTTACAGAACCTATCTGCCTCTGTTTGTTTACCGAAAACGACAAACACAACGGATAAACAGAGGAGGCTGAATACCAAATTTAATTTTCAATAAAGCCTGTAAATATTCTTTAGTTGTTCGATTCAGTGGAGGATGCGCCTACTCCTTGACTAAAACATTGTGTAATATTGCTCTGAGTTCCTTTGATATATAACACACAAGTGTTTTAATTAATTTCCAAATGATGATGAAATGTTTATCCTCGTAGTAGACGACCAGTTTGGTATTTGTTATTCATTTGAAAAAGCACAGAAGCAGTTTTCAATGAATTTTTCTTGACATTATTCAAACTGTGAACCTATGTGTCTGTACACTTGCAGCTACTAACGTTGAATTAGAGTTGAAAATCACACTTGAAATCAGACGAATTAACTACTTATTTAACTAACAAATTTAGTTGACAACGCACATTAATTTTTGATGTGCATAATCAAAACGCCACCTTTCACCTACAGGGTGGCATAAATAACATTCCACTTTCAAAGTACGTCATCAGAATTTGATCGTAGCTGAGTTTGGAAGAGATTTTCTGTTATCTTTCAGTAATGAAACACAAGTTTAGTACACTCTCGATGATTCAAATTCAAATTTAAATTCTTCATTATTCTAAGAGACATTACTATATATGTGTAGGCTTCGTAAGAGTAAAATCTGATAAAGCAACACAAAATAAATATACAGTGCTTTTCTTTAATGCCCCCCTCCCCTTTGATTTTTTCAATGGATCAATTCAAAAAATTAAAACTTGAGGTAATGAAATTTATGCGTGGATACCATATTTTAGAGTAAAATTGACAGATGAAAATGTCAAGATGGCCGCTGGCCGCCATCTTGGAAAAAAATATATGAAAACGGGGGTCTTGTGGCACATCACTTTGAAGCTCCTGACGAGTACTTTCAACCCTAGAATATAGAGTTAATACCTTCACCTACTACAAAATGGTGGTACATTTAATAATTACTTGAACACAAACCCACTAAGATGCATATCCTTATAAATAATTTTAATTTCCTGCCGTATCCACAGCAACAGCGATAAAAGCTTGTATTGTTATTTTTTGTTGACAGTGACAAGAATATCAGTACGAAAACAACCATCATTGTACAGTTAAACTGTTCTTATTTAGTTTTCGGTTTTAGTGCTAGATACTGTTTGAATTATTTTTAAAATGGTCAATTCTCGTCCATTGCAAGAAAAAATCGAAGTGGTGCGACAAGTAACTTACACATAAGTATCACCCTTACAAAATTCAAATGGTACATCAGCTAACTGAAGATGACCCTGATCGAAGAACAGAATTCTGCGAGACTATGACGGAAACCATTGCACGGCATCCTACCTATATCGTAAAAATTTGTTTTAGTGATGAATGTACATTTCTTCTCAACGGTAATGTGCATAGACAAAATTGTCGTTACTGGAGTGACACCAATCCTCACGTCTTCCGGGAAACTCATACTCAATATCCACAAAAAATTAACGTTTGGGCTATTCATCGAACAAACTTTAACCTGGGAACTGTATTTGGATATGCTGGAAAATACTATTGACCCTCTAATCTTTCTAATTCGATACTGATATTATATTCTAGCAAGATGGTGCTCCACCACACTACCCCAGACAAGTTATTAATTATTTAGATAACAATTTTCCCGGTCGTTGGATTGGCCGTCGAGGTGCTGTGGAATGGCCAGCTCGCTCGCCAGATTTGGCACCTTTAGACTTGTTTTTATGGGGCGTTTTGAAGCAGAAGGTGTACGAAACTGAACCTGCTTCAATATTGGGTATACGGCTGAGAATAACAAATGTTTGTAGAAATATCGATGTTACTATGTTTGAAAATGTTCGACGCGACATTACGAACCGGCTGTTATTGTGTCAAGAAGTTCAAGGCAACCATTTCCAGCATCTTCAAACTGAACTCAACGTATTTATTCGAATTATCAAGTTAAATATCAATGTATTTAGGTAATTATTAAATGTACCACCATTTTGTAGTAGGTAAAGGCTTTATATTCTAGGGTTATAAAGTACTCGTCAGGAACTTCAAAACGATGTGCCACAAGACCTCCGTTTTCATATAATTTTTTGTTCAAGATGGCACCCAGCGGCCTTATTGACCTTTTTATCTGTCAATTTTACTCTAAAATATGATACCCACGGATCAATTTCAATACCTCAAGTTTTAATCTTTTGAATTGATCTGTTCAAAAAATCAAAGGGGAAGGGGGACATTAAAGAAAAGCACTGTATGTATAAAACAAACAAGAAAAAAAACTGACAAATAAATCATAAAATAATAAACTCGGAGACGGCATAATAACATTTAATTACAAGAAATTCAGTAAGCTTAGCCTTAAACTAATTTATATCTTCACACTCTTTAATGTGGTTTGATAGCCTATTGAAAATACGTGGACCCAGAGATCTGCCGACCTTTTACTGGAAAAACACACATTTGAGTCTACAGCTTCTCTGGTCGTGTACGAGTTAAAATTGTTTAAATACATATTTTTTTTAATAAAAGTATATACAGACATTACATATAAAAATAATGACGGATTTTCATAAGAATGGCTACTACTGACTCCGATCATACATCTAACGACTCTTTTATGTGCCAAAAATAGTTGCTGGGTATTTGTGGACAAACCCCAGAACCATAGGCTCAACTTGAGTATAATAAACAGAAACTAGCTGTGCTTCAGTAAGCACCGCTTGCAAATTTTTCATGAGATATGATTGGAAGTTTATCTTATGTACACTTTAAAGCATAATCCTGAATCTAGATACAATCCCAATAATTTTCCTGAGCCAATAATATATGAAGTTACAAGTTTCTTCTGGATGTTATGAAATCGGACAATGCTTTTTCAGAATTCAAGAAGAGTTGATGATTGCTGAACCGCTTGTCAATATTTTGCAGTAAAACCCGACAATCTCTCTCTACAGTATCCTCACACTTATTCGATATTGCCGCTGAAGTATCATCTTCATATAAAATGAATCTACCTTCAGAGGAACAGTACCCAAGGTCATTTGGATATAGCACAGCTCCTAGAATAGAGCCCCGAGAGACGCATATGGTGATGTGAGGATGTCGCACTTTATGGGCGCATTCAGACTTATCCAATGGTATGGTGGACCATTTGTGCCATATTTTGACATTGATATTTTCTGCAACAGCAGATCGTATTACTATGGACTGAATGTATACTAAGTGACATATAAATCCGAACACCCAGTTTAAATGGTTCTATTTAAATAAAAGTTGGTGAATGTATTTATCTTATTGTAAATAACAAGTGAAAAAATTTTCAGCCTTATCAGTTGGACATTCCGGTTTTTATACTGCTTTTTTTTAATTCACTAACGCTCTAAAAATGAATATTTCAGCCGCAGTAAAGAATCAACGTTGGCGGATTTTGGTTCTTGACAACCTTTACGATCGGTTACGATGCCCAGAGTACGGAGACCTGTACGATTTCGTCAACTTAGTGAGTTTGATAGGGGCCGTATAGTGGGACTTCGGGAAGCTGGACTTTCTTTTCGGGCAATTGCAGTTAGAGTGCAAAGAAGTGTAGACACTGTGGTTAGGTGTTGTCAGGTATGGCTTCGAGAAGGCCACACGCAAAGAGCAAGGGACACTGGACGCCGCCGTAGAACAACAGACCGTGAAGATCGCCGACTAAGATTATTGGCCTTAAGGGACCGTTTCTCCACTACCAGGTCCATTGCAAATGAATGGTTTGCAGAACACGGAAGACCTATTGGCATGCGAAGTGTTTACCGACGAATGAGAAGTTTTGGCTTGTTTTCATAGCGGCCACACTGGGTCCTCCCTTTAACTCGAGAACACCGACGTAATGGCCTTGAGTGGTGCAGACAACGGTCACTCTGAGATCAGGAATGGAACAGTATTGTCTTTAGTGACGAGTCTCGATTTTGTTAGAAGGCGACGTGATGAAAGGAGGAATCCACATTTTTTTGTTGAAAGACTTGTTTGTCATACTGTTGGAGTTATGGTTTGGGGTGCTATAGCTTATGGTTCCAGGTCACCTTTAATCTTCATCAGAGGTAACATGAACGCGCAGCGTTATATCCACGAAGTTCTAGAACCCCATCTTTTACCCTATCTTGACACCCTGGCAGATCCAACTTTCCAACAAGATAATGCCCGACCACATGTTGCAAGAGTCACAATAGACTTCTTTCAACATAATGATGTCACATTATTACCATGGCCACCAAGATCTCCCGACTTATCCACAATTGAGCACGTGTGGGAGAGGTAGGAGATTACTCAATTTGCAACGTCCTCCTCAGACTCTAGAAGCACTTCGAGAGAAGTTGGTGGTTGCCTGGAATAAGATACCACAGGAGGACATTGACCACCTGATCAGAAGCATGCCTAGGCGCGTTGGAGAATGCGTAGCACATCAGGGTGCTTCCACACATTATTAAAGGTCAAAGGGCTTTAAAGCAGTGCAATCATTTTGAAATTTTTATCATTTACTTATTATGCTTCATTAAGTACTTATACAAAATTTTATTAAAATAAAACCATTTAAACTGGGTGTTCGGATTTATATGTCACTTAGTATATGAGCCTGTTTGAGATGATCCATTTAATTCCATTGTTGTACATGTTAGTAGTCACTGTTTTTCTAAGAGGGACTAACTTGTACTCAAAATAATCCCTTGTGAATTCGCGACAGCATTGCGTAGGAAGTCAACCTACTCGATACCAGTTTTCTCTTTAAGCCAAATAAAAATACGATGCTTTTTAATTTTTGCGAATCAGTATATCTGCAGTTAGAAGAAAAGGACAGCAGAGTGAGAATAACAATAATACCATTTAATAACCAACTTTATGGAATAATTGACACAGTGACTCTTGATTTTTTCACATTATAGGCTATCATAATCAGACGTGAGAAATAGTTTTAATCTAAGCTTAGACTTTGGTATGATTTTTATATGGATATATCGCTATTTTAAGAAAAAATAATAAAGTGGAATGAAATGCTTAATTCTGAGTGTCCTAATACAAACCTAATTCAAAAAGGTTGATATTTGTGGAAATGGCACGGAATTAACTAAATGTAAGCCTGTATTTTCAACAACAAAAAAAAAACAAATGCTGAAAATCTGTAAACCTATAAGACTTCTAATAAAATATAATTTTGCCATATACTAAAATAGTAACTAGGCCATGATATTTGCAGCTGCCGGATTATCCTTCTATTTCTGGACACCCTGTGGTGGGAATCCTGAACTCGACTTGATGATGCGTGTTCCAATGACATATTTACTATAATAAAACCATTTTGCGTGAAAACAGTCATTCATTTCGCATGAAATCTTTGTTTGGACAATGGCATACATAAAAATGTAACGGGATGTGGCCGTAATTGGAAAAATAAACAAAGTATTCACTACGCAAAACCAATAAAGTAAGTATATGTCACTGAAACTTTATTACTCTTCAAAAAAACCGGGTGGAAAACATATCTTCACGATTTTTCTAAGTCAACATTATTTTCAAGATACATAGATATGTACAATTATAAAGCATCACAGATTTTTGTAAGCATCGGTGACAAGTTTC